GTTAAACAACTGCCTGCGTGTGTTAATGCTGGCTTGTGTCTGTGTGTAAAGGGAGAATGTGTACATTTCTAAACTTGTGTTTTTGTGGGAATCTAGGCCAGCTGCTTCCTCAGGTGGCTTCCTGAAACTTCTACACTATCTCAGAAAATCTGGAAATTTGCAACTCTTACYAGGACGTAACACAAACACAATTCATATTAAAAGAGCTAACGTATTGTTCTCCATTTATGAGATATTTCATGACCACACTTTATCAAGAATTACTTCTATTCAGTGATTTATAGACAAATATAACTGAAAATCAAATTTTAGCATGTTTCTGTTTTAGCTGCTTTGAGCGAGTGACTTAAAACTACTTTATTTACAGTTTTACCTGAACTTACATCAAATGCTGTAAATCTGGAACACTGTGAGATGATTGATGGGACAGGAAACACCAAAATGTGTTCTGATGCATGATGTTGTTTTTAGATTTCCGTTTCATTGTTGACTTCCATTCTTGCCAAAAGTATTTGCTCACCCATCCAAATGACTATAAACCAGTACACAAAGCAAGGTCCATAAAGACATGGATGGCAGAGCCTGGTGTGGATGAACTTGACTGGCCTGCACAGACTCCTGACCTCAACCTAATAGRACACCTTTGGGATGAATTAGAGCAGAAACTGAGAGCCAGGCCTTCTGTCCAACGTCAGTATGTGACCTCACAAATGTGCTTCTGGAATAATGGTCAAAAATCCCAATAAATACACTCCTAAACCTTGTGGACAGCCTTCCAGAAGAGTTGAAGCTGTTCTAGCTGAAAAAGTGGACCAGCTTCATATTGAATCCTATGGATTAGGTATGGGATGTCACTTAATCTCATATGTGAGTCAAGGCAGGTGAGCCAATACTTTTGGCAATATAGTATATGTGTAACATCATTTAAACATTTACAGTACAGTATTTATTTCTAAAAATGTGTGAAAGTAATCCTCATTTTGTGGAGCGATAAAGAATTTTGATTTCTGCTGTGACCCCCATGACACAAGAAAGAAAACAGGATGTTTTTATGAACACCTGATGGTTGGAGCTTTACCCATGGGGTTCAGCCAAGCAGGGGCAGAGCCAAGGATTAGCCATGGCCAAAATCTTTGGTCATTGCTACCCCAACTGCCGTTTTGCCAGCAAAATTTTAGAGAAGCTATTTCTATAAACAGAATATTCTATTCAGCAGCACTGGTGAAATAGGCTATTCGCATGATGTAATTCTACATGGTAGCCACTGACTGTGTATTTTCATCTTCTGGTCCACCCCTGTGTGATCAGTGATCCCAATCTGGTTACCTCTACAAAAACTCACTGGCCTCACCACTGCAGCCAGGTATTGTCTGAACAAGCTACGTGGGACCACCCTGCTGTAGGCGGTAGCTAATGTACCAGTGCATTGTGTCTTTAGAGATAGATGGAAATGCTGTCCTTATTGATCAACTCCTGGTTACTTGAATTGCCTTTAGGGCAGGGGCGGTTCTAGGGGTATTCAGGGGTATTGGCCCCATCTGAAATCTGATTGGCCCCCTGAAGTGCCCCTGTCCTTTCAATCATCTGTCCTTGCCCAAGAACAATGATGGTGGCTGCAGTTCCACTTCCAACCACTAGTAGCGCCAGTGAGTCAAATAGGAAAATCCAAACGTGAAGCAAATTTATAGGCCTTTTTCAGTTCAAACAATCCTGCAGAAAAAACATCTTTTTTACTGACAACAATGGCTAGATTTTTTTACATGTGTGTTTGCGAGTATTTTATTTATTTACAGTAAAAAATCATGTAAAATTGACAAGGAGAATTTACTGTGCAAGCTTTTACAAGTGTTTGAGCACGTGTGACTGATTAAAAATGTAAAATTAATTAATTAAAATTAAATTAATTAATTAATTAATTAATTAATTTTAATTAAATAAACCTTACAAAAACTGGGGATTTGTGTGCAAGCATGTTGAACAAATACTTGGCCCCTCTATGAATATTGTGGCCTCTTGATGGCCCTTACACTGAAAAATCCTAGATCCGCCACTGCTTTAGGGACATGAAACTTGACTTCAATAATGGGGAAAAGAGACCAAGCTTGTGTGGGAGGTTGAGAAGTGAATAGTTGGGTAACAAAACAAATGATTTCTTTGGGCAAAGCAGATATGGTGATATGGCACATATGATATTATTAATGCTATTATTAACACCATGTTTTATAACTAGAGTCTGCTGTGAAAACACGATAAAGCTGCACTCAAATATGAGTAGCTGAAGTTCTGAGGAGGAAAGGGAACACGTTGGAGTTGAGTTCTCAGACCAGTGCAAGTGTTGTGAAGTGTTGTGGGAAAAGAGGGATGGAAATACAGTCGGGTATATGAACCTTACAGTGGAGCTGTCATGCTGCTAATGGAGGAAGTGGAGCAGAGGGTCAGGAGTCCTCAGCACCTGTGTGGAAGATTAATGACCACAGAGCCACAGGAGGAAACGACACAGAGAATAAGAGAAACTCTGAAACAAACCTGAGTTATCTGACTACCCTAAAGATTAAAGTTACTTCACCTTTGCTGAGAGATTTCAACATTAAATATACTATAGACAAACACTTAAAAATGATCAAAATACATTTTTTGTCTCATTCTCCTCAAAAGATATGAGACTAAACTACAAGACRACCTGGGATCATGGTGTTACATTTTAAGTCTATTATGAAGCGATGAGATTCATATTCAGCTCAAGCTGTTGTCCCTTTAGGCCATGAAAGGTGCTCTAAGGCATTGATGACAGCAGAGACCTTTATGATTACCTCAGTAGCATGTAGCGCCACAGAAAAGAGATATCATCATTATCTCGACACAAAGGCGGCCCTCACATTGTTAAAACAATTTGCCGCCTGCTAATGTAAGCTGTCAGAGCGCCGCACAGGACTAGTTCCTAGAGTTAAGTTGTAGGCTTTTTCCCCCCTCTCTCCCTCTTCCCTCTCCGCTCGCCTGGGGAATCGTGGCGGGTATGAAGCTCATTTCCTCATCAAACACAGGATGAGTGATTTGGAATATTTATGAGGCCCCCAATTTAAGTTAAACATTTAACAAAAAAGCATCCGATTAAAATGAGACAGCAGAAAGGGTTAAAATCCCAGTGGGCAGCCGAGGCAAAAAATTAAACATGGAATGCTGGAGTTGAATTAAAGAAGCAGGCCTAAGACCGATTTCAGCCCAGAGGCATTAWACTGTATGGAGGCAGTTGTGATATGGTATATGTTGAAACAAGGTTTTCATCGTCAGTGACAAGAATTTGAATTAGGAATAATGAGATAATACTTTAATAAAGTGATTGAAAGATCATTTTTTTATCATTTGCATACTAATGTAAAATCTGCATATGTTTGAGAATGAATTAAATCCTTTTTTCCCCCTAAGTGTGTGAGAAAAAAAGAAATTCTTGGCAGAAATGAGATATGTTTCAGTGGTAATCCAACACCTCTCACCACGTTTATTTTCATTTAAYACAGATAAATTATGTCTGTGTTCCAAGAGCCAAATTGAATCAATGAATACCGATATCAGAGCTAGTAGCACTGCTTCGGTCAGAGGGCACATGTAACACAATGCCATATTGATGTTATTGATAATCTATGGCTTCCTTTCATTCTTTTCCTCCTCTCTTCTGGTCTCTGTAAAGGAGCAGATCAGTCAGCGGCTGAGAAGRAGGGGGTCAGCCAGCTCCTGGTCTTCTGCTCAGTGACTCTCCGTACTTCCTGTTTAATCACTGCTCCCTTGGGGATATTCTACCATCCATTTATCAAACCCAGAAAAAGTTAAGGAGCTCTTTATTCCTGAGAGATGAAAGGCTTAGGTTAAGTGTTCACATTCAGGTGTATCAACAATATCTTCCACTGTCTCTGAGGTGCATAAAAGACTGTGTGTGTCCTTCATATAAAATTCTGAATGAATAGGAATAAATAAATCTAGATTCCTGTACGCAGGCTAATTTAGAAGAACAAACACAGATTATCTGGTGAAAATATCAACTCATAACTCTACAATATTTCCTTACAGTGCAGCTGCTTACTCTGTGTTTAATCAAAAAATATTATACAGGTATACCCAAAAAACAATTAAAAAATAAATTTCACTACAACCTGTCAGTGAAAGGTGCAAAAACAAGAAAAAAAATTTATCTGCAAAATATCCTCATTAAAGTAACCACAGCCATAGTTGAAAGTTTTGTCAACATGTGTTTTAATAATGTTCAGACCGAACCAAACTGCTCTGATGTCAAAACCTGTCCAAACATAAAAGTTGTTCTGGGTGAAGGTCTGGCATTAACCTCCTAATGAACTCTTCATGGCCTTTTTTAATATAAAAGAAAAACAAGTTAATCCTGGCTGACTTGAACTTGTAAACATTGCTAAAATGGCACTAATGGTGAATTGTTTTTAGCTCTTTTAAGTTTCACCTGTTTAAGTATAAGCCCCACTTCACAGTCTGATAGCTCCTGTTAACACTTTAAATTGAATAAGTTGTCTTAAATGTTGTTCTGCAGAGAAGAAATGCTGCTAACTGTCATCAGCAGCCTTGAGGGAAGTGCTTCAGTGCTTTGACCACAGAGACACCGCCTCAGGTCATCATAYGCCAGTCTAACATCTGCATCTCTGTGTCCATCTGTTTGTTCATCCATTCCTCTAAATTTGAATAAATCAATACCTAGGTCCAGCATTCCTTAAAGGACTGTATATATCACCTTTCATGTCAGAGATTGTTTTAGGATGAGAAATGACAAATTTATAACTACTATGGTCAAATCTTGTAAATGATGTTCTGTGCGATCACATGCAGTAATGAGATATTGTGAGATGTGTTAGCACTCAGAGCATGTGTTCATGACTCTCAGCTACTTTTTAAAATTACCTGATTTGTAGCCATTTATGTGTTGACTAGTGAAAGTTGCATTAAGATTCTTTAAGTGGTTCATTAAATATTTTTTAAACAGCAGACATGCACACAGAGACGTGAGCAAMTACATATCTATCACATATCTCACCTTTTGCCTTCGGTGGCCGGTGTTATAAAAAGTGTGCCAGCACTCAGTGATATTTCCATGACATTTGGCATAAAAACTCCAATGCAGTATTGGGTTTATTACAATGTTCTTTGGATGATGCAAATGGTTCTCCAGTGTTATCTTGTAGCCTGGTATGAAGGTCTTCCAAATCAAACCCCCCATTGTGGTGGTGTGATCTCATTTTCTCAGCAGGGAGACAAACTGCTAGTCTCCCTCTGATCCACCTGGCAGGAGGGGAGTTCGGACTGAGACAAGGCAGCYAGCCCAGTGACCTCTGGGTAGAATCTCTAGCTGTGCTGGACCAGCAGTCGGTGTGGGCCAACGAACGGGGGCACGGAAGACTGAAACAAAAAAAGGGGCTGCGATTAGCTGACATGGCTGCTGGGTTTTGCAAGCTGTCTTATTCTCCGGCGTGGGTGGGCAAAGAGGCTAAAACAGGACTGAATCTATTGATCCTGCTGCTGCTGTTATGAGAATGACACACAAGCTATTTTTACAAGAGGGGGAACACACTGCTGGTGAAAGCAATCTGTCCGTGACGTAGTTAAGCTCCTAAACTGTAGATGGACTAAATGGGTAGGAAGAGTAGGCAAAGGTGATGCTGAAAGGGTTTGACATGATGCCTTTTAGCTGAGATAAACTATTTACCTGTCAACAGGAGCATCGTATTTTCCATTCAGGGAGAAAAGTATGCAGCGTCACAGTAGCTATTCATTGTGTTGTGCAGTTATTTTTGTCACATAACACTGCTGTACCTTCTCTATCTATCTGAATGAAAGAGAGATGGTTCAAATGACAAAGACAAGCATATATATAT